TCCCATTCAAGTTTTTAAAAAATATTTAATTTTTTAGTGATAGGAAAAATTTTTTTGTCAAGCTTGAAACTAGTTCAAATTTTCACAAAATATGCAGCGGTAAATTAATTTCATGAAACATTACATAAAACGTAAACACAAATTTTAAGATATTCAAACGCAATTTTCTCAACAAAATTATTCATATTATATATTTAAAAATTCAATATATTGTCGGGTTTCCTTACTTTTTAAAACAACCCAACTTCTCGTCTGTTGATTTATTAATTCTTTCTAGATTTAATAAATTATGGAATTCGGTTTTATTGCTTGCTTTTAAATTTTGTAGTCTTCCTTTTTAATCTTGGAAAATTTTTCAATTCTCGACTTTGGACGGACCATGGAAGGACAAAATATTATTTTCTTCTTTCGTACATTTTGCAATAACTGCTTTATAAAAAAAATGTAAAATGTCATCATCATTATCTTCCTTTTCATTCATTAATAAAAAGCAATATATTTTTTTGTAAATGCTTTAAAAACTTGCAAGTATTCTCAATATCACTAGAAAAAACAGGCCTTTTAAAAAAAGTAGTGATTAATTTGTAAATAATTTTAAATATAAATATATTTTGAGATATTATTATAAATAATTTTGGATTTTATATATACAATAAATAAATTCAAATTAAATAAATTCAAATTAAATTAAATAAATAAATAATAATATAAATAAACAATCTACATAATGCTCAATGAACCAAGACTTATTATTTTTTTGTAAATATACATTTATTTTGTTATAAACTTTTTCAACTTCCAACCCCAGTCCAACTAAAAAATTAATAAATTAAAAGTTAATAAACTAAAAATTAATCTTAAAGTTTAATATTAGGTAAATCTTCTTACCACAACCAGCAGCAACAAAAGTTGTTGATACACATAAATCAAAAATTTTTGAATCATGAACTGAACTGATCTGTAAATATGAATATTTATATGATAATGAATCCATTTTTTTTTCACTTTCATCATTGCTGCCAGCCCTCCTTTGTTTTCTTTTCGATTCGGCTGTTTCGATAGCCTCTTTGTTATGTTTAGTATCTGCAAGATATCTACGCAAAAGCTTCTCGATTTGACTTGCAGTTGGTCTTTTTTTGGAATCAGGATCCCAGCATTGTTTCATCAATTCGGAATAAAAATCTGGTGTATCATAGGTAATCTCTGGCCTTTCTCCTCCCATAATCTCCAATATAAGATTAAAATTATGTGATCTATCATCAAAGGGCTCTTTACCAGAAGTATATACCCACATTATCATCCCAAAGCTATATATATCGGATTATTTTGTATATGGTTTGCCTAATAATACCTCAGGTGCCAAATACGGTATAATACCATAAACTTTATTATTTGGATTATTTTCTTTGACCGGTTCACATAATCCTAAATCTGCTATAATGCTTTTCTTATTCTCATCTATCAAAATATTGCGACTATGCAGGTCACAATGCGCAAAATCTTTAGAATGAATTTCATTTAGCCTGATGAAAAATAAAGAATTATTAATTTATCACAAAAAATTTACAAAAATAATTTGAAAGTCAAAATTACCCAATCGAAATATTCAAAAGTGATTCTAATTTATCTTTCCAGTAAAAATTCTTAAAATTTTTTGACAAATATTTATGTAAATCACCTCCTTGTGCATATTTAAGTACTATCATATAATTTTTTCTTGCATCTTTCGTAATTCCGTAACACTCGTTAATAAAATGGTTGCAAATTATTTTATGTGCTTCTAGCTAATAATTTTAATAGTTCACAATTAATTAAATTACTCGGTAAATATTCAAAACTCAAAGGTTTATTTACCTCTTTTAATATTAGTGGGATAACTCTTTGTGAAGTGTAAATGCATTTTAGCACTACTTTTTTATTACTAGACCAATCGGCAGTATATGTGATTCCGAATCCCCCTTCGGCTAATAGTTTAACTTTAGAAAATTCATCATATGAAATCCACTTAATCTTGCTCCCATCCTTCCTACAGTCATAAAGAAATTTTGCCAATTCTTTATCCCCGCATTGCTTCGTTAAATTTTTAATCATTGTTCCTTTACTGTAGCTGTTATTTTCACCTACTCGGTTTTTCATTGCAAGATTTATTGGTTTACTCAAAAAGAATTTTGTAAAATTTGTTTCATTGTAAGTTTATCACATATTTTACAACCCTTTTATGATATTACTTAATCATAATTACAAATAAAGAAATATAAATATTAACACATATAATAAATAATGTTTTTATGGTGTGATATATTAATATGTTATGTATAAATGGAAAGGCTCCAAATGAATCACCTAATTTGATTTGTTTCATTTGGAATTTGAATATGATTTATGATTTGATTTGAATCTAACCTCCACTAAATCAATATGACTGCTGCATTTTAATGCATAATCAATATTCACAATTACTCAAATTATTGCAAATTGAGCCAAAAAATATTACCTAGTGCAGTAATAGCATTTTTCTTTTTCATCTATAACTGTGAAAGGTTCCACGTTGCACTATTCTCGTTGAAGAAGTTATCATTTTCAACAATGTAATTATCATCATTCATCATTTGTTATATATATTTATTTATTAGTGATATTAGCCGTTAAAAAAACATTGGCTGGCTAAGCTGATAAACCCTTAGTCAGCTAAGGACTTGTATAAATTTTTTATTTTGGATAAATGATACTTTATATATTTATGAATCACCAAAAAATCAATTGTTAAATCAAAAAAGTTATTGTTATTATAATTACTAATGGTAATGTCCTACCTAGTGGTGTAAGCCGGAGAAAAACCTTAGCCGATTAAGGACCTGGATAAAATTTTTAAATAACGTGTACTTTTTAAAATTCGATTGTTTTTATATTTTTAAAGTCTGTTTCTTTTTTCTTTGTAAATAAATCAGATTGTTATTATTGTTATTATTGTTACTATTATATTACTATTGTTTTCTTTATTATCCTGCTACAAGCATTGTATTTTTTTATGTATGATTTTTTCTTTTGTCACTCCAACTAATGCAAATAGACCCATCTCAATTAAGTATCTATATGTCAATGAATTCTGCGCTAAATTCCAGACGTAAAAATGAATGTTAAGAAAAAAAATTTTATCATCTTAGCCGGCTCACATCACTTGTTCTACCTACTTTTACTATTAATAATAGTATTATTACCATTGTTATCATTATTTACTAATAGTTCATTGTTAACTACTAATATTACTATTGCTACTACTCATATTATCGTTGTCATTATTGTCTCCTACTTTACTATGAATATTTGTACAAAAAAGAAAAATCAGCCGGATAATGAGACCTGGATTAGTAATTATCATCAATATATTAATATGGTGAAATGAATATATATTAACATTCAAACATTTTGTCTCGCTTTCTGTCTTTTTCCAAAAGTGATAACTTGTCGAATATTTGTAAATATACAAACATGCTTAATTCTTGTTCTGACATGCCATTGTATAGACTGCCACATGAATAAAGTAAATGATTACAAGCAATTAAATATAATAAATGATTGAATAGCTGAATACAAATCATCAATCCATAATGCTTATAGGCAATTAGCGGTGCAAAAAGCACATTTTTTTAGATACGTTTCATGCTAAAATTTTCTCATTTATTGATTAATTACATAATTATTCTTTCGAGAAATAATAACCTATCAATTGTGTTAATTTGAATAAAGAGAGATAGAATCGCATACAATTTTTTAAAAATATTTCAAATTTTTTCTTTTTTTCAGGAATCAAACTATCTGGCATAAGTACAATTTTGAAATTTAAACTATTATATTATCAATATCTTGTCGGCTTTTTTTAAAACAGCCAAACTTCTCGTCTCTTTCTAGATCAGTATTCTTTTAATAATTATAAAATTCAGTTTTGTTGCTTGCTTTTAAATTTTTATTCCGAGTCGTCTTTTTAATCTTGGCAAATTTTAATAGTAGTTGAAACCTGCACGGAAGAACCAAAATATTATTTCTTCTTCACACATTTGCATTGCTGCTTTATGAAAAATATAAAATGTCATCATCAATATCTTTTTTTTTACTCATTGATAAAGAGGAATAATTTTTTTTAAAATATAATTCATTAAAACTTGGAAGAATTTTTAATATCACCAAAAAAATTGGTCTTTTAAAAAAAGTTCTGATTAATTTATAAAATAAATAAATAATCATAAAATAATGCTCGGTGAATGAAGATTTATTATTTTCTGTGAACCATAAATTCGTTTTTGTTATCAAATTTTTCAACTTCCAACCCCAGTCCAGCTATATATATAAATTAAAGATTAATAAATTAGAATGAAATCATAAAATTTAAATAATAGATAAATGAACAAACAGATCAATTTCTTACCTCTAGCAACAAAAGCTGCTGATATACATAAATTAACAATCGTTGAATCATGCGTTAGACTTATTGAATTAATTTTTAAAAATTGACATTTATTTGATGTTGTATTGTTTTTATATTCATTGCTACCAATCATTTTTCTTTTTGATTCAGCTGTTTCGATAGTCTTTTTGTAGTATTTATTATTTGCAAGATATCTACACAACTTATTTTTGATTTGGCTTGCGGTTGGTCTTTTATTGGGATCAGAATCCCAGCATTGTTTCATTAAAATGGCATAAAAATTTGGTGTATCACTGGTTATATTTGGTCTTTTTCCTCCAACAATTTCAATCGCAAGGTCAGTATTATGTGATCTATCATCAAATGGCTCCTTACCAGAAGTATATACCCACATTATCATCCCAAAGCTATATACATCAGATTCTTTTGTATATGGTTGGCCAGATAATACCTCGGGTGCCATGTATGGAATAATACCGTAAACTTTATTATTTTCTTTAACCGGCTCACATAATCCTAAATCTGCTATTTTGCTTTTCTTTTTCTCATCTATCAAAATATTGCGGCTATGCAAGTCATGATGCACAAAATTTTTAGAATGAATTTTATTTAACCTGATGAAAAATAAAGACTATTTATTAGTTTATCATTTAGAAAAAATTACAAAATCACAAAAATACAAAAATTCAATTTACCCAATTGAAATATTCAAAACTGATGCTAATTTTTTTCTCCAGGAAAAATCATTAAAATTCTTTGACAAATAACTATGTAAATCACCACATTGTGCGTATTTAAGTACTATCATATAATTATTTTTTGCATCTTTCGTAATTCCGTAACACTCATTAATAAAATGGTCAGGGGTGTTATTTTCCTTGTAAATTCTTTTATGTGCTTCTAGCTAAGGTTCGATAATTTAATAATTAGAATGATTAAATTAATCAATAAATATTTCTAAAATCAAGGAATTTTATTTTACTTCTTTTAATATTATTGGAATAGCATTCCGTGAGTCATATGCGCTTTTCAGCACAACTTTTTTATTAGAGAATATATCAGACCAATCGGCGGTGTGTATGATCCCGAATCCTCCTTCAGCCAACAATTCAACATTATAAAATTCTTCATATGAAATCCATTTAATCTTGTTTCCATCCGTTCTACAATTATGAAGAAAATATGCCAATCTTATATTTCCGCATTGCTTCTTTAATTTTTCAATTTCAATGGACTCCCTCGTTGGTTTGTATGGATTTATTAACTTTTTATTATTGCAGTTGTCTTCGCCCACGCGGCCTTTTAATTTATTATATAACATTTTTTCAAATATCTAAAATATCGAGTTTTAATAAACAAGTTATATAATTTTAACAAAATGAAATAAAAAATTACAATTGGGAAAAGAGAGCTTTTTATACAATGTAATTTACACAAAACATCCGCTTTTATTTTATCATTTTAACATTTAGGCAAATATATTTTTTGTCGAAGTAATGACTACTGTGTATTATTTATTTATTATTTATTTATAAATAAACATTAAAATGAGAATCCAACCAATTGAAAGATCATTTTAACATTTAGGTGAACATATTCTTTTCTATGTTAACTTGTATATTTAATAATTGATTTTGTCAAGGTTGTGGTTGTTTAGTCTGCAGTTAAATGATGAATTATTGTTACACACCAAAAAAATAATGAAATTCATTTATATTGATGACCGATAAATAATTTTCATTCTTGTTTCCATCCGTTCTACAATTATGAAGAAAATATGCCAATCTTATATTTCCGCATTGCTTCTTTAATTTTTCAATTTCAATGGACTCCCTCGTTGGTTTGTATGGATTTATTAACTTTTTATTATTGCAGTTGTCTTCGCCCACGCGGCCTTTTAATTTATTATATAACATTTTTTCAAATATCTAAAATATCGAGTTTTAATAAACAAGTTATATAATTTTAACAAAATGAAATAAAAAATTACAATTGGGAAAAGAGAGCTTTTTATACAATGTAATTTACACAAAACATCCGCTTTTATTTTATCATTTTAACATTTAGGCAAATATATTTTTTGTCGAAGTAATGACTACTGTGTATTATTTATTTATTATTTATTTATAAATAAACATTAAAATGAGAATCCAACCAATTGAAAGATCATTTTAACATTTAGGTGAACATATTCTTTTCTATGTTAACTTGTATATTTAATAATTGATTTTGTCAAGGTTGTGGTTGTTTAGTCTGCAGTTAAATGATGAATTATTGTTACACACCAAAAAAATAATGAAATTCATTTATATTGATGACCGATAAATAATTTTCATTCTAGGAGTGAATTACATTAAATAATGCCCAACTAATACTAATAATAGTAAAAGTAATAGTATAAGTTACACAGATAAAAACTTCCTACAAAAATGTATTGGAATTGAAAGTTCCATTGGAACGTTTTGAAAGTTTTGGAAGTCACAGGCCTTCCAGCATCGGAATTGGGATTCCAGCCGATAAAATTCAACAAACTCTTTTTCGAAATGGAATTTTCTATTAAAAGTATTTACTGTTAATTAATTATTAACTGGTGATTGCTGAAAAGTTCTTCATCCATGGATTTTACTAAACTAATTTTTTTGGGAAGCATGAAAAGGCAAAATATATAAAAAAAAATTAATGTTAATTGGTTTATTTATTGTTCAAACTCTCATCAAATCAATTATAACGAAGCCAAAAAATTATCGTCTGACAAAGTATTAGGCAAATAAATAAATACAATACATAGAAGATTAGAATTACAAAAACATACTTTTACAAACAAAAAGATTCAAGTTAAAAAGTTGTGTTAATTTTTTTAGTAAAATTATCAATTTAACAGATGATAAAGATGGTGACAGTAAATGATATAAAGTTGTAGTGGATTTGGGTAAGAAAATAACATCTTTCAATCCTTAAAGTGCATATAAAATGGTAGATGCCATCAATTGATCACGTGATTATATTTTTGATCGGAAAATGGTATTGATGATGTATAAGCCTTCCTAACCTTTCAATGTATCCATCATTAGAAGATTTGAAGTTCATTCCTTTCCAATCTTCCAATAGCATATCACGGTATACTTAAAAAAAATTAATCAGACTTTTTATATTAAGATATTTTTTTATTCACTATTGGCATTAAATTATTAAATTACAAGCATTCAACTTGAAAACTATTCGCTAGTAAATATCCTATTCAGTTATATTCTCAAAACTTATTCCCCCAAAAAATTAATTGGCGCAATATTCATTGATGTGATTCTGGCAATTCTATGCCCTTGACAAAAATTGCATTCCAATTCTTAGAAAACAAAAGAAACTGATTTGATTCTTTAAGTGCATCTCCTTCCAAAAAGATTTATCATGAAAAGAGACGAGGTTATTTTATGTAAGTCAAGTTCTGCGCCACATGACCCAAAGAAATTATTCCAATAAAAATATAAATAATTGACATAAAAAGTTTTTTTTTTACCAATATACCAAAGTATCTTGTGTTAATACCAAATTTTAACATTTTTTTAGTGATAGGAAATCCATGATGCGTTACATAAAACGTAAAAAATATTTAAACTATTCATATTGTTATTATTTAAAAAATTCAATGTCTTGTCGGCTTTTTAAAACAGTCCAACTTCACATCTGCTAATTAATCAATTCTTTATAGACCAGGATCCTTTTAACAAATTATAGAAGTCAGTTTTACTGCTTGCTTTTAAATTTTTATTCCAAGTCTTCTTTTTAAAGCTGTGAAAATTTTTAATAGGGTGGAAAACTGGACTTATGGGTGGAAAAACCAAAATAATATTTTTTTCATGAAAATATAAATGTCATCACCAATATCTTCATCTTTATTCATTCATAAAAGGCAATAATTTTTTGAAAGTATAACTCAAAGAATTTTTAATATCACCAAAAAAATTGGTAATAAATAAATAATGCTCAGTTAACTAAGATTATTGTGTTTGTAAATATTCTTTGGGCCGATAAAATTTGTTCTTATCAATTTTTTTAACATAGTACCATATAGTAAATATATCAATTTTTTTAGTAAATAATTTTTTTTTTTACAAATGATACCCTTAATAATACTTTGTATTTCATAAAAAACTAATTTTCCTTGAAAAAAAAAATTTTATTTTTATTTTTGCTATATGTTCTTTACATTGTCTACCAAATCATCCCAGGGTAAGTTTCATAAAACGTAAATATATATCTAATATAGTGTAACAAAAAAAATTGGAAAATTTTATATATTTGTTTGTTTTTCAATATTGGTTGGAATAAAAACGGATAAAAAAAATATCAAAAGAAACTGAAAAACAGAGGTTTCTGATACAATCAGTGATCCAACATGATATATTTATATCAACGTATTTCTGGGCAGTATTAAAGCATCAAATTAAAAATGGATTCACCACCTAATTTGTCAACAAGATTCTTCAAGCCATTTATTTTAATAGGACGATTCCTGTTTCGCAGTTATCTCGAGAGTGTATCGGGAGCAAAATTGCATCAATGGATGTAAGATTGGTTAACAGTACTCTGCGTAAAGTTCAACATGTCAGTCACTGAAAGAGATCCGAGACACAGTAGAGTGTAAATACATGGGATCTCTTTTACTTCGACTAAAGATAAAAGATCAATGCAGCTAAAAAAGCTGCTTTATACATACCTTATGACCAAAGGAACAAATATTTTACGAAACCAATAACAAAATTGTTAAAAAGAATCATATTATTTTTCAAAAAAAATATTTATCACAATTAATAAATTATTATAAAATTAACTTTAAAATAAATTAAAACAAATTAATCAAGTGATTTAATTTTCTTGTAGTAATTGATCAAGATATCCCAGCAAATTTCTAATACCAAATAAGCAGCCTTCATCTTTACCAACGTTTTTTCTGAAATGAGAATGTGCAAAATCAATAATTTTTAAATCAGTAACTTTCAGTCTCTCTTCTTCCTGATCATCATCATCATCTTCTTCTTCATCTTCTCCTTCTTCTCCTTCATCTCCTCCATCTTCTTCTTTGCCTTCATTATCATTACCATCAATATATTTTGATGATATTTTTTCAAGATTTTCTTTTTCTTTACTCAAGGCCTCTTCTAAAGCATCAGGGTCACCTTCATATACCAAAAATAATGATGCACCATACAATCTCAATTCTGTATTTTCTAGTGCTTTATAAAGTTCTTCAAGATCTCTAATTATTGTTTTAATAATCAAACTTCGTTTATCCTTTGATATTTCTGCTCTAAAATAATCCCTTAATCCTAATATTATGCCATCTTCATTTTTTAAAGTATACCCATATTCACGTGAATAATCTTTATAATTATCAATAGATTTTTGATAAACCTTTTTTTTTTCAAATAAATAAGAGATAATCGGAAAATAAATTAGAAAAAAGGAGGCCGAGTACAATTCAAGGAATATATATTATTACCTTAAATGCTGTAATTTTTATTCCTAATGAAGTTGATGTAGTCATTAAAGCTCTTTTAATCATTTTTTGCTTTTTTTCTTCGCTAGAATCTTCACCCCATAGTTGAGTACCTAGCTTAAGATCTATGAGACACGGTTTTTTAAAACCATATAAAATATTCTCTAAACATATTGCATGTGTTTATAATTAAAAATAATAAATAATAATATTGGTTAGCATTAATACATTTCCTAAATATATATATTATTTTTATTTTCCAAAGGATATTTTCAACTCCTGTAACATTTGCACTTTGTTTTTCGATTTCTTGTCTAATTATCAAAGGATCAACTACCCTAATACCATCGCCGTTATCATTATTATTATCGCTAATATCATTAACTAGATTTATTAATGAATTATTATTGTGGTTAACACCTTGTAATTGTAAACTTCCATAAAATTTAGGTATCCACATAGAAAATTCTGGATATAATACACTGGTTTCGTAAAATTCTTTTTCGACTGTATTACAAGGTTTAACAATTACTGCTTCATCATTTGTTAATAATAATTTATCAAGACCTCCAATTTGATGCTCAAATTTTTGTAACATCATTCATTCATATGGGAAGGTGGATTTGTTTAATATTCAATAATTAATATTTATTAAAATGATCCACATTTAGTAAGTTGCGATAATAATTTCGTGCCACTCCGGTTAACTAAAAAAACTACAACAATAGGAGATCACAATTATTGAATCAATTTATCCAAGATATGATTTATTATGTAAACCAACACCAATTTTCCTAATTATCATGGTCATAAATCAATTAGAATTAATCACGTTTTAAATGAATTATTTGGAACTTTAAAATTGATACGTAGGAAATTGTACTGATTGTAATAAAAAAAATAATGCAAATTAAGGTCCCCGATATTATTATTGATTTATTGAATAAATCAGTTGATACAATACATTAAAAAAACTTCAGATAGATTAGAAGAAAGGAATGAAAGAATAAACAATTAATTGAAAATTCATATATAAATATTTAATTCATACAGATGTTAAATTGAATATAGTTGTATTATGCAATTGTTGCAAAGAAAAGGTAATTGAAAACTTGGTTTATTTATAAATGTAAATGAATAGATCTTATTATAGATTACCAATTAAGTCTTCTTTTACGAAAATATAGTACTAATTGAATATCCTTCAGTTTAATCGTGATGCGATTATCGTGCATCGCTGTCAGCTTGACATCTTCAAAAAAGTCAACTAAAAACTCTTCCGAAATCTATTTTAAGTAATAATAATAATTAGTATTATTAGTATTATATATAATATGTATATATAAATATACTTTTTTTAGAAACTTGTGAAGGATTATTCCTTTAATCAAAGAATAAGAGAATTAATTTAATAACAAAATATACTTTTTTTACTCCAGCAACTTTCAAACTTCTTTTCATATCTTTATTGTATTTTATTGTTAATAATAATGAAAATAAAATTTTATAAAAAGAATCCATCATTTGCCTTCAACCGATGGATCATTATCAACAGTAGAAAGACCAGATGTTGATGGTAAATTATTATAATATTCAAATGGTGATTCATGACTTGTGATTCAACGTGATTATTATAATCATCAATGTTAGTAAGTAAATCATTAGTGATATTGATATTATTATTGAAGATTTCTATTATTGTTTTGCATAATTTGATTGATTGATGAATTATTTTCATCGTCTAAACTTTCACTATTTTCATCAAACATCAGGAAATTTTCCCTGCCGTAATATTGTGTCCATAAAAAATTATCTAGTATTTACACTCAATGTAATAATTGCATAATATTACGGGGCCCGCCATAAACTTATGTAAATCCGTGTCAGAAAAAATTTCCTAATGAAGTAGCTATCTAAGACTTTTGTTATATTTCTAAATGAATCATCCAGATCGTCCAAGAGACCACCATTCCTTTCTAAGATACTTGTTATTACTATGATGGATTCATCTTCATTTAATTCAGTCAGGATTATTACTACTAAATACTATAATGATCGACTCTAAAAATTTTCTGATTGGCTAAATTCAATCAGGGATAATACCATGTAATGATCGACGTTATGAAAAGAAATTCTGATTGGCTAAATTCTTGCAGATCTTTTCGTTGATAAAAGAGAAACATAGCGTGAGCTTTATTAATTGGTCATATAATTTCCAAAATTATATAATATGTGCATTTTTAACTTTTCTACAAGCTTACCCAAGATGAGCAAATATAACATATTATTATATTAATAATGATTTTTATTCGTTATTAAATAATTTGTTAAACTGCCATTCATCAGAACAAAATACTTCATTTAATCTTTAAAAATAGAATTTAAAATAATACCATATAAATTTCCTTGCCAATTCTGTTAAATAATAAATAAAGAATACATACAAAATCCATATAGTAAAAATAATTAATGATTATAATAGTTCTAGAATCAATAGCCACCATTGTAAATAATTTATTTGGAGTTTTATGCTTACATTTCCATACCGAACTACTTTAGTGCTCCATGCTGCAATCCAACAAAGTAGTTGCTAGGTGTTGCAATCATTTTTATATGATGTAAAGGTGGTCAAAACCATCATCAAAGTTGCAGTTGGTATCCTTAAACTACATGTACCTTTAAATAAATAATGCCTAGATAAAAATATATTGTTATTAACAAATTAATTTACATGAATAAATATAGTAATGGTGATTCTGAATATACTTAATAATAAGATTTGCACCAACATGGCGTCAGCTGGCTTCCTGGATATTTGTTTGCAATATCTTCATACAAACAATACAAACATAATGGTCTAAAAACCAATAAAAATTAAATTTCTAGTCATAAATTTCTAATTTTTAGTAAAAACGTACTTTGAACAAATCAACAGATTATTAACAGTTTACGAAAGAGCAAGCTTAATATCTCCTTCAATTATAAACTGACTATTTTTAGAAAATGTAACATATAATGAATTGATCAGCAGAACACAGTCTACTCTCTCTATAACGACCACCAAGTAAAATTTCTCTATAACGAACTTCCCTTTTGCTCCCGTTCCAATTTTTTATAATTAATTTCTCTCTCTATAACGACCAAAAGCAGAGAAATTACATATAGGGACAGAGGATTCGTTATAGAGAGAGTGAAACTGTATTCTGGAATCGAATCCCGATATGGTAATATTAATATACTGAAAATTGTTATGCTTGTTTTGGAAACGTGTGGGTGATGATATTAAAGGATAACAATTTTTTATTGTGAAAATTTTTGATTACCAATTGATTTTTTCTTTATTAGAATAAAAATGAATGAGTTTCTATTCCAATTGAGATAATTAAATTTATCTTTCAATTCTGAACATTTTATTTATTTTTATCTTATTTAATATTTGGTCTTTTTTGAATCGCAGAAAAATAATTAAAAAATAATATGGAAAATTACTAGATCCAGGGAGCATAAAAATTATTATCTACTAAGAATCGGGTTTCTAGATGACAAATCGTTTATCAATTGTTCAAGTTCTCCGATTTTTGTTTCTGAATTATTTCGCACACTAGTATTTCTTAATGTTTTCGCGTCCAACTTCAACTTTTCAACATTTGCATTAAGCTCATCGACAAAGTTAAATCGAGAGACAACTTTTCTAAGATCGTTGCAATGCTTCATAATTTTTTTGTAATTTTCATCAGCAGCAGCTTCAAGCTCAGGAAGTCCAGATTCTTCTTTAATAATTTCGCAAAGTCTTTTGGTTTCTTTGATTAATTTAACGTTTTTATGGAAATGGCTGAATAAATATAACAAAACTGGGTTAATAAAAACCTGTCGAGACTTTAAAACACATTATTATCAGAGTGAATTACCTTGTAGGACCACATCCACATTTTTTGCATATGCTTTTACTATCCATGCAAGCACAATAATTGAATGGAATATTCTTTCCATGTTCCACGGTACGATTAAGATAACAACGGTCATGACAAATAAGATCAGTATGTATGATACAAACTGTACTATGATAATTGGCAGGAACAATTTTCTCAAGTGTGATTTCTTCATTTATATCTGCATGAGACTCTTCTTTTTCTTTTATTTCATCCAGCACTTTTTGAATATTCGCAATGTTGACGGCTGCTTCAAAAAGCTCAAATTTGATTTGGTTTCGAAGGGGTTTCATTTTCCTAAAGTGTTCGGCTGGTTTAGAGAGTGGCAGAGAAAATTTTATCAACATATCATTAATTGTTGATTTGGAATTCTTCCATTGCAACTTAAGAAGTTTATAACCAATACCACTTCTTGGCCTGGTTGTAGGATCGTTACAAAATGCTTGGTTATCCATATAAAAAATATCCTAAAACAAAAAAGGTGGCAATCTTCGTTGTTAATTTTCATATAAATAAATATATGCAGTTAACCGAATCTATTGGTTATAATGTGAATTTAATTGATTAATCACTAACCCTTGGCTTTCCAAGATGTTCTGTAAAAGTATTGACAGAAAATTCAGTAGATTCCTTTGTACACTTTGTTAAAATTAGGAAAAGGTTATCTTCGATCATGGCATCAGGTAAGTTATTTGCCAGGAGAACCAAAGCGAGTTTTATTGTTGGATTCATTCTAGGTTCAGATCCATTAGCAATAACTACGATAGCTGATATTGAACCAACGCTAATTGCTGTATCAATTATCTCTTTGATATTAACGTCATCTTGTTCCATACCCCTTGTATCACTCAACCCTGGGGTATCAATAAAGATAAATCTATAAGCAGGATTTTCGGGATGATTGAAAGCATATGTGTTGCATTTTGTGGTTTTACTCTTTGTCACATCATCGATATCAGTTTCAGAATGATCGAATTCTTGAAATAGTGAAAAGAAAAAATTCAAAATTAATGACACCAATGCTTGTTTTTATATAATAGTCTTAAATTATACCTTCTTCAGTCACATCAAGATGAGCTGTTGGAATGACAACTTTCAGATTATCAAGAGTACCACCCAGAAAGTAATTTGAAATTGTATTGATTACGGTTGATTTTCCAGTTCCAGTTCCTCCCAATAAAAGAACTTTGAAGGCACCTGGTGGTCCACCAACTTCGCTAATACTTTTTGAGTTTATTGGTCCCTTTTTGGAGTACTGGTTATTGGTTACATGCTGCCAAATATCACTACCACGTAGAAACGCTTTTTTATCCAATTCGTTCGGGTGGTCTAGGGATCCATCACAAGTATCTGTGTCGGAATCGTCATTCGAATCATAAAAATCGCAATAATCCATTGTTAAAGAAAAAATTATTAAATTTATTCTTTTTACAAGATTAAATTTGATAGGATAGTATGATCTGAACGGGTTAGTTTTATGCAATTTACACAAGATAAGCAATTTTTGTATTCAATATTTATTTTCCACACACGCACAACAGGCGGCGCAAATGTTTATTTATTTGAAAGTCCGATCTTTATTTTTTCATTAACTCAAAATCGAAAAAGACAATTTTTGTTTGGCGTAAATATTTAAGAATTCTTGGATTATGCGTAACGTAACTATTAATAGATGAATGAAATATTTAAGGAGTCAGTAAAAACGAATGATTAGTATGATTATTTAGTGAAATGTTGTTAATATGAATGAATATATAAATAAAAATTTGCCAATCGTCAACCTTTACACACACAGAAAGTTGTATATTACATGATAATCTAAAAATTAACAGACTTTACTATGTGTTGACAAGGAAATTGCCAATCGTCAACCTTTACAATACTCTTGTTGTGCCGCAGGGTGATATTAATATATGAATAGGGCTAGGAGAATTCTATTGTATTAATGCAAATATCGAAAGTTGTTTATGGATATTTTCTGTTTATGTAAAGATTTATTGTGACCTTTTTTGGAATTTTATTTTTGCGTTACAGAATAATAAAATCCAAAATGATTTCATCTAAAATTAAATAATATAGTTAATGGTTTAGATTATAGAATTCTGTATCGTATATTTGGACGTTTCACCGATTCATTCATGTACATAAGTGGAAATTATTTTTTTTTCTAGTAGTTATTTTATTGTTAATGCGATGTTCGTATTTCCAGCAATACTACTATAAGCCAACTAACCACCTTTGACCCAAAGATTTTAAAAAGTTAATAAAAGTGTGAAGAACGCGCACATAATACCGGTCTCTCGTAATGCTTGGCACATATAAAAATGTATAACACTGATTGTTAAAAATAAAATTATATTTATTTACCATCCATCTTGTCCAGTTTTAAATTTTTTATTATTACCATGCTTTTACCAGGAAATCTTGATTAGAGGTATATAGAAATTTCATCCATCATTAGCACTTAACATTAGCATGTATCATCAACAAAAAAGAATATGATGTTGTTGATACTAACACCCATGAAGTTCCTATTAACAATCACATTTGTGTCATAATAATCAAAAATGTCTTGCCACAACCAAATATTAACAAATATCAAAGCGTCTTGCCACTACTACCAATAAAAACAACAAAAATCATTATGTGATGATGCTACAAAGGATTTCTTTATCAAGTTCTTTTTGCCAAATCTTTACTCTTAAACCAGAAAATAATGGAATGCGTTTTATTTTTTTTTTTTTTAAGGACAATAATGATTCTGCTGATTCTGAAGAAATGCATATATTTAGACAAGAACTTGAAAATTTCAATTACTGATCAATGATATGAGGCCAAAACATCAATAAAATGGTCAAATCCTTTGGTGAAAATACACTTTTGTGTAATTATTTATATTATTATTTAATATGTAGTAAGTAGACTTGCTCTGAAACTGTCGCAAATCGCGCAAGCTGCTTCTTATTGCTTAAAATATATAATGATCATTTGGCGTTTTTTCTAACTCATTGTTTACACTATACTTGAACAGTGGTGAGATTTATGATGGGTGTTTTGACTTGAAAAGAAACATATTCATCGACATTGACAAAAACGGTTAATAAAAGACATGCACTTTTTAATACTAATACTTTATTTTTTTCACTATAGATTAAGGAGGTAATATTTTCCTTTATAGGCAAGGTATTCATGCTCAATAAAAATTTAAAGTTAAAAGATGATCAACCGACGGATTTTTTTACTCACGGATGATGTTTAACAAACAATATTAATATCTTTTTGTAAATATTATATAAAAATATTAAAGGGTTTCTTGAATTTGGACATGGAGATCGAGTAACAAAAGTTTAATAAAATTTTTTTTAAACATTAATACCGATCAAACCCAATATTCAATGAATATCTGATGAAAGAACAGATGTAACAATAACGCGAGGAGGAAGAAAGGATCAAGTTCTTCAAAATAAAGCCTAGAAAAATCAAATTGGAAAGTGACAATTAATTAGAAAACGTAAAATGATAACTGTAATTAAATAACAAAAAATTTCAAGTATGTTAGAATAGCATGTACGAATTAGAGAAGGAATTAGGAGCACCAGAATAAATTAAAATGGTGGAATTTATTTTTTTAAAACAATAAATGTATATGTATGTTTGTATGTTTGTTTGTTTGTGTTCGCTCGTTTGTTTGTTTATTTATCCATTGTTCATTCATTTCATTCATTTGTTGACCTTTCTTTGTCGAATAATTCCTCCGTCTTTTGTGCTGATGACTGTTTAAACTATCTGCATATTGTTTAGTCCAAAGTTGAAGTTGACTTACTGTCATTTATCCAAAAAATAACACTCAAGACAAGATTCTATTCTTCTAGGCGTTCGTTTTCATTTTTTTTTGATTCAATTGTTGACATATAGTATACAAAGTAATAAAAATAAAAATACTCACTTTCGATTCATTTTTTAATATGGTGTTATATTAGTGCGCCCAACACATCTCATTATTCTTCTCCATTGTCCTAATATTTTACCATTAATCATGTGATATATAGTAAAGTAAATTCAATGAGCAGTAATTGCTTCCACAGAATAAAAGACTGATTCCAAGTTTAAATCATCAAGTTCTGTCAGTAGCAATTTCAAATCAAAAAAAAAATTTTTATAATTTTCATTTACACTTTCATTCTCATCTGTATTTACAACTATTCGGATAACAAATCACTTATTGTTTGATTGCTAAAAGTTGTCTTTTAAATTTTTGTGTAGACGTGAAGATTAATAAACGTGGACAGGAAAATTCAGTTTATTAACAATGATATAGGCGACGAAACATTACTTTTTTTTTATAATAATAAAAGGAAATTTATGTTGTAAAAAAAAATGGTGGAATTTTCAAATGCTAATGCTAATACAAATGCTAATGCAAATGCTAATACCAATGCTAATGCCGATGCTAATACAAATGCTAATACTATGCCAGCAAAATTTTAAAGAAAAACTAGACTACTATAACATAAAAATATGTATTTTCTGGTCCTCCCCTTATTGTTAAAAATGATCGACAAAAATATTTACATTTTAATTCTAAACATGATGACGTCGCTGCAGGTTTGAACCGGTTAACTTTGGAATAATAACAAATTAAAAATTAATGGTTTCACGAATAATAATTTGTTTGAATTGTTCAATTAGATTCGGCCAATTTCCAAGACACTCAAAGACCGACTCTTCCCATAAATCATCTGGCATTGATTCTCTAGTGGTAAATAATATTCTTATGAAATGATCATAAAGTTCAGAATTTTCATTTTTACTGAAGATAATCTCATCGTCTTTAACAACATCGTTATTTAAAATAAAATTATTATAATAATAATTGTTATTAATTGTATTGATTATATGTAAATCACCTTCAAGATATTTTGACGACAACAGTGATGTTGGCTGATATTGATGTTTTGGTTGCTGGTCAAGTCCATATCTTTGATTTTGTAGTAATCTCACTTTACTTTCTTGATATAAACAAAATTTTAAATTATTAAAGAAATTTTGATATTTCGATTCTATATTAATCAATACATGTGGATAATCTCTTATTATGTTTATATCAAAATTGTTATTATTATTAACGTTAGTATTAGTGCCGAATATTATATCTTGTAATTTGTTAAAAATACTGAAATTTGGGTTAATAAAACTCTTGATAATTTCAAATAAATCATCATCAGAAATTGAATTCGAGTATAAAAGGTTTATAAAACTATCCCAATCTTCATCTGAACAATTCGGACAATTTCTTTTGATTAGATTTAACTCTTGACTATTATTTATTATTATTTCCTTGATTTTTTTACCACGATCTTTATTATTTATTATTTGCTGTTGATGACGTTGTTGATGATAAAGTTTCTTTGTATTGGATTCTTCTGAATCATTAATGCTTAGAGAACTTAATGGCGAAGATAATGAATTGACAAGATAATCGATTTCATTATAATGTAAATCTGCTGGTGATGATGATATATCTGATGCATTTTCGTTATACATCACCATATCCATGTCTTTATCATTATCATTACTATTATTAAAATCATCAATAGATGAATAATCTGACAAAGAGGGCGAAGAAGAAAAAATAAGAGAAGGGGTGGGTGAAAGAGGGGTAAGAGAAGAAACTAGCTGTGGTATGAAAACAAGTTCATCCAGCCTAGATAAAGTTGCACGATCTGAAGTCATTTTGGTATCTATATATGTAACGTTATTTTGTATATGAGCTGGATTTGGTGAATTAGACATCGTATTATTATTTATTATTATTTTGAATTCCTGGTTTAATTTTTTTTTTAAAAATTGTTGTATTAGGAAAACTTTGCCTTTTATATAGTCGATCATTTCACACACCTTAAAAAAATAAAATAATAAATAGTAATAGCAGTATTATCATGTCACAATTGTACTATAAAAACTGAAGAGACAATTGGATGATTGCCTAAACTGTTTTAGGAAAATTTATTTCAGCAATAGTTTTAGCTTTATATATGATTAACAAGGCTGAGTAGTAACTTCGACTAAATTATTAGTATTGGTCATATGGTTAAGTCCAATTCATCCATTACTAAATTAGGACTATAGCAGCCCGATGAATAAGATTTAAAGAGCCATAAAATTAATTTCAGCCATTATTGGTTTTTGTCTGACAATCATTTATTAAAAGAGGCAATTTCGACGGCCATATATAGTAAAGACCACGTCATGTAGACAGCTGGCGCGTGATCACGGCCGTTGGGTCATCTTCTTTAGATATTGTTCTTCTATTTCTTCTATAGGATGGAACCAATTGAAGGATAGAATACGAAACTGTGACTTGTAAACTACATAAGAAGATAAAAAAGAAGATTAAGGAAAAACGCCTCTATACCACTTTATTAATTGTCATTACCCCTTCTTAGTCAGAGGATTTAGAATTAATTTATCAATTGTTTCCCTTTTATTCATTTTAATTCATAAAGTATAAATAAATAAATCTTACCATATCGAAATCATCTCAATTTCCCACAAGCGTGAAATCGAGACAAATTATCCATTAATTAATTCACTCTTTAATAGCACATTATTACGTGACAATATACATCTTTATTTTTGATAAAATATTCTTAGTTTTCCTAATAAGGAAGGTGGGTCTTATGGCTTAAAATTAATAAATGATATATACTTGACTAACTGCAAGGGACAAACAATGAATGGTTGATAGTTGACTCGAACGAATAAATTAACTTTTATTATGGGTCCAGATAGAAATGAATGTTTATAAATTCTTTTATAAACAGTGTAACAGCACTTCATAGTTAAATTATTCTTAGAACACGAAAAAAAAAAAAAGATAATCACAATGGGACACATAATAACAATGATATTTAATCTCGCAATAACGAATTTTATTTTTTAAAAATCGTTATAACGCGAATTAATTATTAGATTTACACAACTTATTTATGCGTACGATTTTTTTTAGTTAGACTGAATAATAAGAAACTACGAGGTTAATCCAAACTTGATGATAATAAAAATCGTGCGACGCAATTGGTGTTGTTTAATATTTAACATTAATAATTTCTCGAACATACCATACATAACTACACCAAAATAATACAGATCCTTTTGGATTAAAATATTGATAAAAAAGGCAATTTTCAAAAAAAATGGTTTTCCCATCAATAAATTGTTTATTATTCAGAATGATTGATGACTCGATATTTTTATTAACGTCTTTTGCAAGCTATGTGTGATTTTTTCAAGATAAAATAATTAATTTTTAATTTAGCAGATTTTTAAGAAACATTATCAGATGGAAACTGCGACTAGTGGATCTTTACAATTCCCAGATATTGAAACTTTATAATCTATTAATCTATTATTGGAATAGTACTAATGACATTGGCTTATTAGAAACTAACTTTTTTAGGTCTAATTATAAAAATTTAGGTTGCAATGACAAAAAAACAACTAATACAACAACTTTATATAGAATATAATAGATCGAAGCTTGGACCAAATCTAAATCAGAATGAACATCTAATAGTTGATTTGAGAAGTAAAAAAATCAGCTGGAGGGTTTATTTTCCTAGTCCAAACCCCATATAAAAATAAAGAAACATTTGAGAGTTAATTTTCCTCATTAAACCCCATACAATAATTCATTTACACATTCTTATCAAGAGTATAAACAGTGCCGCCTCATGAAAAGTAAAAGAAAAAAATGCCTCATCACGTGATAATTATTTATTAGATGAAGTAAAAGGTTACTTATAACTTTCATTAACATGGTAGAAGATTCACACTATGCATGTTGTCAAAATTAATCTGGTTTCGACTCAATCGCAATTTTTACTCATATGACTCAATCAGTGCTGGCTGCGTAAAAGTGTTAAAATCCTAATTTGGTAATATTTTTCTTGATTGAACTTGACTAAACTTGACTTAACGTAATGATAATGAATAAAGAGTTTAGTCTGTTTAGCTAAATTCTCATCTAGGTTACGCAGCCAGCCCTGCGTCAAAAAATTCACCTGATTGAATCAAGTGATCAACCTACTTCTACCACAAGATTCAAAACTTTCTCTAAAGTATCTTTCCAGAAGTGTTTAATTTCATTTTTTTGCTAAAAATTTTATTGGCTTAAAAGAACTCATAGTAGATGTGCAATGATGAAACGAGAGTACATGGTTGCTTTCTTAATAACAATAACCATATAATTGATGACAGAAAGTTTAACTTTGAGAGAAGCATAATGCGGACCAAACAACCTTAAACCTATAAAAGATATTTGAATTCGGTTAATTAAAAGTTGCTTCACTTCTTATAATAAATACAAAATATGAAAAAATCAAAGGATTTTAAATTTTTCTAAAAAGATCAGGTAACATATTCCCTACAAAAAGTTTAGATACTTAAAATGTATTTAAATCATGCTTAAAATATGCTTAAAACATATCTTTTTTAATAATGTACAAAATCAAGTATGTTTTAAGTAACTTTTTAAGTGTATTTTAAGTGTATTTCAAGTATGCTAGTTTACCATCAAAAGTATGTTTGAAGTATATTTTAAGTACATAGTATATTTAAGTGTGTTTGAGTATAATCCATATACTTAAAACATACTTAAAATTCACTTAAAATGTTCCTGCTCTCTTTCATCGGTAAATTTTAAGTAAATTCTAAATATATGGTGTATATTTAAGTGCATTTTAAGTATTTAAACTTTGTGTAGGGATTGCACGCGTACCCGGAATTTGGTACACTGGTTTCTGCTGCACGTTATTTGTGGAAAGGTTTAAAGTTGTAACAATATACATTATACCGAACTTGAACTATGATTATTTTTTGATTTTTACTGTAATTTTTGTTATTATTATTACTAATTTTAGTCGGACTACTACTTGGAATACATAGATCTTTGAAAATATGCATTAAAAAAACGTTCGATAGCAGATTTGGAGAATGACATTTATTTCGTGACAATGACCTCAACAGTTTACAATCATTATCCAAAAAAATTGAAAATAAGTGTTTCAAACTATAAAATTAACACAAATTAACTCATTAATACAATATGTAAATTGAAATTACAAAAGTAACGAACTTTGAATAATTTTATGGTCTTGACTGAATTTTCAATTCAGCAAATCACGTTGCTGAGCCTGGAATGGTGATACTGTCAAATTCTTTTACAACGTAGTTATTATTAACGTACACCACCCGATTTCCAAACTCACTCACTGAAAATGTTTGACAATTGATTGAAACAAATTCGCCTTTGCAAAAATCAAATATAAATTTTCCTCCTATTTATTTTTCTATTATATATTTCTTTTGTGTAGGGAAATTATCTGTCATAAAAACAGATTATCCTATAATAGGCAATAACACCTTTGATTATTTAAATTCATATTATCTGGAACTTCCATCCTCTCGAAATGTAGAATGCTAGCTAATATATCAGAGTTAATTCTGCATTTTCTAGATTACACTTATTCACTCTTTTGTCAATTTCTGATTTGGCTGGCTTCGATTCCATAGACCAGCATTCGCTTGACTTTTATTAGATATATTGTTTTGAACCAAAAAAATATAAATTAATATAATGTCATTTCAAACAAAACAAAATATCAAGTTGATCGCTCAAACCACACATGATATCAGTACTTTCCCACTCTAGACAAACCAGAAGTTTGCCTTCTATAAAAAGTTACTCGAACAGCAGCTGCAGGGATGTTGGTCATTTTATGCCAGAAGATTTCAACATTGAACAAAGTAGGAAAACGTAACCACTTTAAGCAAGTTCTGGATTCAAATTAAGGATGTTAGCCGAAGTGGTTTTTGAAAAAATCAATTTCGGCAGGCAACTTCGGATTTACAATATTTCATAATGATGGACATAAAAAAACTACCCAGAATTTTGGCTATTGAGTTAAAGTGTTCAAATAATTTTGAGTATAATTTCGGCAACTATGAAAAACTATTTCAGCATTTCGAATTCGGTGACAATTATTTACTAAGTGAAATAATTTCGGCTAACATCTTTAATTCAAATTGCACAATGATATCATTCTCCGGAAGTTTCTTTATAAAAACATTTAATGCCTTTCAATGAAAAACATACCCCAACCAGTAATTCCCCATTCCTCGAGAGGCCTAAGTACTCTTTGAAAAGGCTAGTATCAGTAATGAGGATTAAATAATTTTATCAAAGCAATAGGAAGGAAAAAGGTCCACCTGAATATAAAAACCGTGAGAATAGGATTTTTTTTTTCAAAGTTAGTAGCACAATGGTGAATGTTATCTTGAGATCACAAAAAATAATTTTTTTTACTAATAAAAATTTTATCATTAGAAAATTTAAACTTATTAGTTGACAACCTTATCAATTCCAACAACAATGCCCTACCATTATAATATATTAGTAAACTTATAAGTGACTTAACAAAGTTATTGATTGAATCAAATTTTATGATTTAGAAATTAGTGTTTCTCATTCTGCTATTTTAAAAGCAAGGACTTCATATTTTAAAGCTGCCTTATCAAATAATTGGATAAAAAAATCTGATGATGGTATTATTTTATTTGAAAAAAAAACATTTCTCCAAATGTATTTGAAGTTTTTTTAACATATGTTTATTTAGTTTTTATTTAACCAATTAATTGAATGATTATTATAATAATTTAAATTACTTTATTTTATTTATATATAGATATATTTACAATGGAACTTTTAATATAGATAATTTGGATGGAAACGAAATTTTAGAACTTCTTGAGGCATGCAATGAATTAAACTTTAATGAATTAACAAGATCAATCAGGCATTATGAACAAAGAATTAAATCTTGAAATAGGTGGATAATTTACTCAGAGAAATTCGTAGAACATCAAGGATATGTTGAAAAATATTGGATTTAGAATTAATATTCGTGTACATTTACATTTCCAAAGATTGTTTAGTAGATGATATTTTATTAATAAAAAATAAAAAATAAAATTCGAAGAAGCAGCCTATGTTATGATAAAGCCTGGAGTAAATTGTGATGGATGGTGGACAGTTAGAAAGGACTTTCAAATACAGTACTTTTGGTCTTGGATTCTATTCCTGCTTCGTCAATAAGAAGTGCACACAGATCCTTGAGATATATAAATGCAAATAAGAAAAGATTGACACTTAATGTAGCAGAATATGCTGTAAAGAAATACTGTTCTCACAGAAGAATTCCTAATGATGTATTGTCATGTAAGTTACCTTTAAACTTCAGTTTAAATTTTTTTTTATTAATAAATATTCAATTCTTCCAATTCGTTCATTTTAATATAAAAAAAATTTAGAGGTTAGCATGGTAAATTTGAGCCTTAATTCCTCTATGGTAAACATGACACATCAACAAAATGAAATCGTGACTTTGTAGAAAAAGGTTTAGCTTCAAAACCATGATTTGGTTTTTTTGATTTTCCATTTCCATTTTTCCAAGACCAATAAAAAGTCTAGCAACTAGGTGACTGCAAAATTAACGTGATGTAACACAAAAAATGTCCGAATTTCGTACACTGCATACTATTAATTCAACGGTTCCAAGATAGCGCAACCATTCAAACTGGTTAGACATGACACAATAGTATTTATTTAATAAATATAAATAAGAGCATTATATATAAATGATAACGAATTTGTATTCGGGTTTTTCAATGAACTTGGTTGCATGCCAAAAAAAACCAAAAAAGACCTTGCATAATAAATCATAATAATGTGCCAACAACTGCATTTTATTTGCATTATTATTATACATTCTAAATTGGATTAATTAACCATGCTCTCCCTCTCTTTCCAAGTTAGGATTGTTTTATGCAATTAATTATAAAGACTTGATGGATGTTTCATGAAGCTGGGTCTGTTTGCGTGTGCATATATTATCATATATTATTATTATTGAAAGAACCTAGTCTAGTCTTTTAGTAACAGTGAGAGAGAGAGAGAGTAATATTAATCTGACAGTGAAATATATTTACCTTTTCACCCGATTCTTTTTTATCCCAATTTTCTATTGTTTTTGTTTTTATTGTTTCAGTAACAAAATTATTCTTTTTCCTTGTTGAATAGGTTATATGAAGATGTTTCCTGTTCAGACTTTCATCATGCTTTCCAAATTTTTGATTTTAGCCCAGATCATAATTATATCATCTCTTTGTATTATAATTGGATAATATATATATAAGCATGTAACAAGAATACTCCAATTATAATACAAAGAGATGATATAATTATTCATTTTTTTAAAGCATCATTAAGCTTAACGAAAAATGCATGCCTTTCTTGATGGATGCATATATTAAAATGAATATTTAATGAATAATAAAAAAGATAAAAGTTGCAAGGGTTTTGCAGTAGTGCCAAAATGGTATATGTGATTTGATTTTTACAATATAATAAAGATATACACATATTTATATTAATTGGATAATATATATATAAGCATGTAACAAGAATACTCCAATTATAATACAAAGAGATGATATAATTATTCATTTTTTTAAAGCATCATTAAGCTTAACGAAAAATGCATGGTCCTGGGAATTCTGAAGAGGGCGAAGCTCTCTTCAGGCCCTCCGCAGGAGCGTTAGCTTCCTCACGTGAGGAAGAAAAAAAAAAAAAAAAAAAAAAAAAAAGAGCAATTCATATAAAATTTATATTAAAGACCATGCTATCAACACTAAAGATTAGTGCTGTAAATTATGATGATGGCAGTGATTATATTTACGGCATATAAAAAGTGGTTACAATTACCTTTGCAACCATACTTTTCCTTTTTTGGATTATGGCACTAGTCTTGAATCAACACATCAAACACTGGTATAATAATAATATATAAAATAATAATGAACAAAAATATTTTACATGAGATATTTTATTTAAGAATTAAGTTGAATTTTATATTTTTATTATTATTATTTAAAAGATTTATATACATGTTAACAAATACATTTTCGATTTTTACAATTAAAGATTTACAAAAAGAAAATAGAATTAAAATTGATAATTTAATAAATGTAATAAATATTCTTTATTTAATAATAATGATAATAGTATGTAAGAATTTTATGAACAGATAATAAATATTTATTTAATTTACATCTTGTAATAAATTCTCTGATTTTTTAATCTTTTGTAATAAGAGGACAAATTCAACATTGATATTATTAAATATCTATTTGAATTGTGCCTCTTCAATTACAATGAAGTAAAAGAGCCACTCTACTGCCTTCCGGTTCAACACTTCCTCCAACCAGTCTCCAATCTAATAAACATATATATATACATAAAATACATAGAAGAAAAAATTAGTAACAAAGGAATGGTTTCATGCAAGATTGATGATAAATTACAATATTTATATAAAACGCGAATTTTATAACTACATTAACAGGATAAAAATAGAGTTACTAAAATGGAAACCCTTACTAAACCAGTTTTAAAGCAAGTAATTAATTCCCTTTGTATAAATAATAAATAATTGATATCCAAATACATATAATCAAATGTGTATAAATTTTTTTGTTAAAAATTCATATTTACATCTTTGAATTAATTTTATTAAAGAAGCAATCAGTTGTTTTAAAGTACTTGATGATATAGAATTGCCCCTATTGACAACAAAGAAAGATTCATATATAGTTAGCCAAAAATAATTGCCGCAAATAAAGTTTTTTATGCTTGCTAAAAAGCCACAAATATCATAAGCAAAATATACTTAAAAAATTTATCTTAACTTTAAATGTAGACAAAATAAAAAAAAGGAATTAATCCACGTTTTTTTAAATTGATGATCTTGTTAATCTTATGATATATAAAAGAAATCATCCTTGATTTTTTTTTATCAAAATATTGTTGAAAAAAACACCAACGTGAGTTGATTTTCATTCTTAAAAAAATTCAAAATTCAGTAACGGAGTTGGTAGAATTGTTACTGACTGCCCATACCTTCTCGAGCTTCCTGATATCATGGAAGATTATAAACTCAGGGGGGGGGTGGAGTGACCCAACTCATTGAAAATTGATTCACTTAGTCATTTTACCTAATGGCTAACCCTCCACTTTTTTTTTTTTTTTAGATGCCAAGAAGAATTAGAACTCGCAGAAACAAGCATAAAAGGATATTAAAGTAAATATAATAATAATAATTATTATTATTTGTTTTATTTAATTTCAATGTACTAATTTTTCCTTATCAATTTAGACGATATATCCTTTTTTTTATCCAATTCATTAATTTAATAGTTGTTCTTTTTTTTTTATACCATATACTTTATTCTATCTTTTATCCAAAATCAATTAAACCAAATTCCGTTAATTCCGTTAATTTGAAACCCCCACTAAAACCATTCACTTTTATAACAATACAAAAAAAATGTAAATTACGTAAAAATAATAAAATTAAAAATGAAGATTTATATTAGATCTTTGGATAGATCAAGTAACAAATGATAATTGTATCTTGTCTGTATATATTGTTATGACAAAAGCTAAAGTCTTTGCCAACTATTTTTGCGCAAGAGAATGAATGTGTGACGGGAGAAAAAAAATTCGTGTTCAAATTTACAAATTAATTCCAATAAAATATGATATTAATCTTGTTAATCCATCAAGCCTGCCTATACAACTGATAAACATTCATTAGCATGTTGATTTGTAAGCTTCATAGATCTTGTTAATTCCATCAAACCCGCCTATACAACTATTGAATAATTGATAAATGTTCATCAGTAAGAAATATCTTTATCAATTATATTCAATAAGCGTGATGGAAGCATTAAAGATAAGATATGAATATTTGAATAATAACAATAGGTAATTATCATTAATAAACCAGTTTTTCTATCTAATTTTAGCCATTAAACTAAAAAACTATTTTATATATATATATTAAAAAGAAAATTATTTATTGATAGAGAAATCTAAGGATTCCGAATATGGTAGGTGGCCCACTCATAATGACTAGGCGTTTGGATCCATCTATTCAATGAGGACTGATAAGCTCTAATGTAAAAGGAATACACAGGTTAAAAAGAAATAAAAAAGGTATATATATAATATATAAATAAAGAAATCGAAAATTTTATTTTCAGAAAGTAAGAATTTTAAAGACAAATAAATAAAATAAACAGTTAATTAATGATGGATTCTATGTTATCAGGAATTCTTCTGTGGGAGCGGTACTTCTTTACAGCATATTCTGCAGCCTTACCAGTCAATCCTTTCCTATATGCATCCATATACCTGAAGGATCTACGTGCATATTTTCTTATGGACGGAATAGGAATAGAATCTAAGGCCAAAGGTACTGTTTTAATAAGACCTTTCATTGTATAATCACAATTTTCTCTGGTGTACCTTTTGGCTGCACCCCAATACATTTCAATAAAGTTTAATTCACAATGGAACTTGGGGTAGAAGATTACCATATGACCTTTTTTCTCAATTTCTTCTTGAATCACTCCTTTTTGTGCTTTGAAATCTGGTTGTAATTCTAGAATTTTCAAACCACAACAGTCTATTTTTTCATTTTGCTCCCTTGATGCTTTAGTTTTACACTCGGAGCATACTCTTCTCAATCCTTCTCTCCACAAATTCCTTTCTTTTAATATTGTTTCCATCCCTTTTTGTTTTCCACTAGGATGAACCATATGTTGAGTTACACCATTTACCATAGTCTCTCTCATGTATGGTTGTTTTCCACCATCATTCCAACCTACTTTGGACGCAACTAAAGCATCATCAGCATAGGCAGCATGTGAAGTTGCATTATCAAAGGCAAATAATGCAATGCAATCCTTGTGTGTTGCTTCAAAAATCGGAATTGCTTTATTTATTATTTGATCCTTTAATTTTTCTGTTGTCCACCATCCATCATTATTTAATCCTGGTTGAAGATATTCGAAGCTATGTTCATGTAAGTAAGGAAACTGGCTTTTTTGGCTTTCATTTAATTTCAAAGGTCCAATTGTTTCTGTTAAAAAACCACTAACATGATAAGCCCTTCCCTTTCCTTTTTTTTTTAATGGTTCTTCACCAAATATTTTCCAACCCATACTTTTACTTTCATTTGAATAGAAAGTTGATTCATCATGTGTCACCAAAATTTTCATCTTAACACCATCTTCTAATACAGGATTAATTATATTTTCCAAATCGTCACCCTCAAACCTTGGAGCATAAGGCTCATATTCCTCTTCCATGAATTTTAAAAATTCCTTTCTATATGCCACAACATCATCTCTCTCATGACCATCAAAATATATCCCTTTTTTATAAGTATCATACTCCCATCCCAACTTTTTAAGCCACCTTCTTGCTGTTTTTTCAGATATTGTTTTGTTTTCATTTTCTACTCCTATGTTGGGCAATATTGTATTATTAACATGTTCACATAATTTTTTTGGTGTCATTTCAACTTTATTAGATCGTGCATAACTCCTTATTTGAGCAGCAACATCTTCATGATTCCAAAGGCTTTTCGTTTTTGGGTGTTTCCCTCTTTTTGATTCAGGTAATGTTCTATTTTGGATCCATTTTTTAGCCCAAGATCTAATACATCTCCCTTTATAAATTTTTGCCCACCCTAGAGATATTGCCACCAATTCACTCGCATCAACCTTTTTTCTACCATCATCTAAATGTCTAAAATACATTTCAATTGCCATTAATCTAGATTTTACATTATTGGCTAGATTAGGGTTTTCAAGAGCTTGTTCAACAGACTTTATTGCATTTTTCCAGTCATCTTCAAGACTGACATCAAGATCATCATCACCTTCTGATACATCATTATCATCATCTGCTGACTCGTCATTACTTTCAAGTTGATTTCCACTGGAAGCTTTAACATTAAAAAAATCAGTAATCCTGGCAGATCCAATTGCAGCATCTCTCAACACCTTGGCATGTCGTTGTTGTGTTCTTACTGAATAAAAAGAGGTTCTGCTTTTTGTTGAAGTTTCATGCACAATGGTAAAATTTTCAACTTTATTTATATTCACATCCTCCCAGAGATTACTGTCAGAACTTGATTCAGAATCAGATTTAGATTCAACTTCGACTTCAATTTCAGATTCAACTTCAACCTCAATTTCAGATTCAATTTCAACTTCAATTTCAGGTTCAACTTCGACTTCAATTTCAGGTTCAACTTCGACTTCAATTTCAGATTCATAACCCAGATCTTCATCCATTTCAATATCACCTACATATGTTGGATCACTGCTTCTTCTTCTTTTATCTTGGGCTAGTTTTTTGATTTGAATTTGTCTTTTGCTAGGTCTGCCCATTTTAAGGTAAGTTATTTAGATTTTAATAATATTGTAATATAGTAATATAGTAGGAAAATGTTAAATCGGAAATTTAGATTTTTAATAATTAGGAAATTTTGGTTTTTTATATCAGGATAATAACTTGGTATTATTTTTTTAATTATTTGATTTGGGTTTTTTAATAGCATAACTTGGTAAAAACATCTCATTTATATATTCAAAAATTTTATATGATTTGATTACTTTGGATCATGAAACATTGATAAAAATGGATGATAAAAATTGGCTTCACATTTGATTTGACATCTCTAAAAAATGAACAAATGATTATATATGATTTATTATTTCTCTTTTCTCTTTAAACATGGAGCATTGATAAAAATGGATGATAAAAATTGGCTTTACATTTGATTTGACATCTCCAAAAAATGAACAAATGATTATATATGATTTATTATTTCTCTTTTCTCTTTAAACATGAAGCATTGATAAAAATAGGGATAAAATCGGGTTTACATTTGATGTATTATTAAACTCATCTTTAAATAAATGAACAAACAAATGTTCACTGTTTTTGCATTGTATTATTTATAATTAATTATTCCTGAAATATGTATCAATTAATTAATTCTAATTAAGTTGCGCATAACTAGATTTTGGCTGCATTTATAAATAATTTATTAACCAAAAATGGAATTCTAATTTGATTATTGCATTAGATAAATTAAAAAAAAACAAGTATTTTAATTTTTTTGGCATTAAAACCTCAATTTAGTAACAAACATCTTGCTTCAGATGGGTTTCTTTGTATATATGTATGCATAGTATTAATTAAATTATGGTAGATTACCATAAGAGCAAAAAAACTAGTTTTTAAATTCTGAACAATTAATTGGTTCAAATCAATTCAAATTCCAATCTTCTTTATTACTGAATTTTTATATAATTTTTAAAAGGATGTTAATAAATAAATAAACAAATAAATATAGAATACCATTTTGGCACTATGTGTTTCAACCTTTTCATTTGAATGTAATGTGTAAAGTCAGGTGTCTCAACCCTCAAATTCGAATGCAATGTAAAAGCAAAACAAAAACTCTTTTTTTTTTTTGTGATTTATACATTTTTGTAGTAATTTATTAGACTATTTGATCAATGCACCATTTGACAATGAAATAGTCTATTTCATTAACCACTACACATTATTTTTGGTCCATTTTATATATTTGTAGTAATTTATTAGACTACTCAATCAATGGCCATGAAAATAGTCTATTTTATTAAAGAATAGCAAAACCAATATACTTTTTTTTTGATTTTTGATCCACAAGTGGGTAAGCAGATCTATTTATATGTTTTTTGGTAATACTCAATTAACTACCTATTATTATTCAAATACTTCATAGTAGTTAATATCTTGTCTTTAATGCTTATTGAATAATGATAAACATTCATAGTAAATTTGCTTACTGATGAATGTTTATCAATTATTTAATAGTTGTATAGGTGGGTTCGATGGAATTAACAAGATCTATGAAGTTTGCAAATCAACATGCTGATGAATGTTTATCAGTTGTATAGGGTTGATGGAATTAACAAGATTTATGAGGCTTGCAAATCAACATGCTGATGAATGTTTGAATGTTAAGTTTTTTTCTATTCGTTATTATTGTCACGTGATAAATGATCGGCCACAAAATTTCAAAAATTTCAATTCCTCCAATTCGTTCATTTTTAATATAAAAAAATCGTGTGTAACACGACAGTTTTGGGGTTAACATAGTAAACTCGTGCAACTTTGAGGCTCAGTTTCTCATGGTAACGTGATGTAACAACAAAATGAAATTGCAATTTTGTAGAGAAAGCTCTTAGCATTGTTGTGCGTGAAATCAATTTGAAATTTACCAATTAAATTTTGGGGTGGGTGTTTGAATACAAAATTCTGATTGGCTAATTTGAATTTCACGCGCGTGAATTTCAAATTGACGCAGATTCCAAATTCACGCACGACAGCTTCAAAACTATGGTTTGTTTTTTTGGTGTTACATTTCCATTTTTAGAGTACTAAAGGATCTACAATACTAATGAAAAGTTGCGGGACTAGGTGTCCTGCACTATACAAGTATACAAACCAGAAATATTGGAACAAAAAATAACACCAGGACATTAGGTAGAATTTATTACTTCTTGTTTATTATATTGTTGATAATTTTGATTAATGATTGTTACATGGTATTTAATATAGATGGCAAATTCGAACTAGAAAAGGGATGGGCATTGAAAAGCAAACAAAATATGGAATAAGGGGAGCAGGGAAGCGTATGACCAAGAAAATAAAATCTTATCTTGAGGGATATTTTTTAGCAGGCAATGTAAACAAAGTTGATCGAATGACAGCAAAAGAAATGGTAAGTCAACTTCATGTTTTAGCTGATGAAGGTGAAATTCAAGTTGAGAATATTCCTGAAGTGACAACAGTTGCAAATTGGATTACACGATATGCAGTAAACTTGAAAAAATTATCAGCACAAAGAGTAGAAGAATTCAATGCTAATATTATAGAAGGTAAGAAGTAGGTAGTAATAATGAACAATGTGAGTATATTGATGAGTCTAGAAAAGGCAAAAAACCTATTTTTGATGATTCTAATAATAATAATAATACTGAACATTTGACAAAATGTCAAAAAAAATAAGTTACCAAATTTTTTTATAACATTTTTTTATTATTCATTATAATATTTATTATTGTTATAAATAAAATTTACTTCTCTTTATACATCTGCTTTTGATTTATTGAACATATATCCAAAACTTTACAATGTGTCTAATTATTGTAAGAACAAAACGGCATACAATATTAGCCAATAGCGTTGGCTGAAATTTAAAAATTGTAGATTTTTTTTTATCGTTTACTTCTCAATCTCTATGTCCAACATATAAAAGTTTTCGAGGAATATTCCAAATCCTTTTGGTTTTTTTAATATAATATTCTATGAGATCTGCTCTAATACATACACAAAAACAATAAGGTTTGTATGACAAAAATTATTGTACTTTATTATTTGTTAAACATTATCAAATTTTTACATTTTTGCCCCACCGATTCTACTTAAACTTCTCAGGTTCATTTACGGATCTTCAATTAATATAGAAAATAAAGTGATGTCACACGACTGATAGGGTTATAAATATTTACGGCTGCCACAAATAATTGCACATTTTATTTTTACACATAATTTCACTGCAAATGAACAAACGGCCAATCGAATTAATCAATTACAATTCAAAAAATTTAGTTACTGCAAATTAATTTCTAACTTTCTACCATCCATCAAAATTGGAATAATCTTGACCATTGAAATCACCAAACCAATTTGGGCTGCATGTATATTCATGACTAATATGACTAATGATATTATAATTATATTAATCTTGAAAACTATTTGTGGAGTCATAATTATTTGCAACAGCCATATCTATTTGCGGCAGTCGTGATTATTTAAGACAAATGGTGGCTATCAACAGCTATTTACGGCAATGGTAGCTACCACCTAATAATTTACAGCAAATGCCTTTATCGATGTTGTTTATTAGCTTTACGTGTTTTACTATTAAGGTGGGCCATTGACTGTTGGCTTTTGTATCCAATCAACGGAATGGTCACAAACATTACGAATTAAAATTCCATCATCAATGTGAAATTCACCAGAATTTTCTCTTCTACTCATTATTGATTATCCAAGTTACACTATTAAACTCTTTTTTATTGTATTCATTGTACTTGGATACACATTAGTAATAGACAAATAAAACAAACAAACAAACTCCATTATGTGTCTAAATTCGTTATTCGGCAACAACAATAAAAACTTTATTTTTAACATTAATAATAAGAAGAAATTTGCATGAATTATTTTTTCATCCTGATATCAAAACTTTTCTTTTAAGAAAAGATGTTGGAAATTTTGTTATGTAAGAGACCACGTAAATCCGAACCAGTCTCAGTTGTGTTATTCAGAAAGTTCATTGTTATATTATTTGTATTAATTGTCTTAACTGTTCTTGTCATATTATCCATTGGAGTAAATAGAGATACACCAACTATTACAAGAAAGTATCTTAAAATGGAGAATTTCCCTGTGCCAGGTGAAGTTAATTGATTGATGAATTAGTTTATCATATGTATGAATGTTGAGTAATGACTTTCCAACTGCATAATATCATTGTATAGTTGTTACCATTAAAAATTCTTTTCAATATAGTATGGGTTGTCGCTACTTCTTCAACAAAAGTACCATAAATGGTAAAATTATATTATATGCGATGCACTATACATATATTGTATCATTTATATCAATTAATTAATCAATTTAGGTACTAGTTGTATTGAATATGTAAAACAACCTACTCATAATGATAGCAGCAATCAATGGGGAGGAAGTTTTTCTTCAGATACTTTATCATTTATTGATGCTAGTAGCATGACTAAAAATCAAAGAGATATAGCTATATTAGAGTTGAGTTTCAAGATTACGGATCTAAAGTATAACATTACTAATAATGGATCTATCATTTTTGATGTTTTTATGCATGATCAAGGTAAAAATAATTTATTTATTTTGAATATTAACTGATTGATTGGTTAATTGATTGTTCTTTTTTTTTAATTAGAATACGATCCATATGATGATATACTTGCTAGTGGAACTGATGATTATTCAATTTTTGCCAAATCGCTTCAAGAAAGTGTTAATTATAATACAGGAAATGTAAGTGATGTTTAAATGTAAGTGATGTTATTATTAATTATTAAATAATCGCGAATGATATATTTTAGATTTATACTTTGAGAATATTAAGAAAACAAAGGACCATATTAAAAGATTCACCTCTAAATGATTTGGGACTTTCACAAAAGTACCCCAGCCAAACTTATGTTGTGACAAATGATCGTAAGTTATATAAATTCTATTATTATTATGAAATATGCATAAATAAACAAATCAGTAAATGAATTAATTTATTTAGGTACGATCGGAACAGCACCGGATGTAAGCTCTACAATTTTCCGCATATATCCTCAGGATTTTTTGCTTGAAACTGAGACTGGACAAAGGTAAGTAGATTGAGTTAATGAATGAGTGATCAAATAGTAATTCTTAATTTCTAATAATCATCAATTTTTTTTTAATATAGAAATAAAAATGTAATCATATTAATTAATTATTGCCATTATAATTATCATTAATCATTTCATTAACTTTGTCAATTGTATAAATCAGGCTCTATCTGTTATTTCAAATGTACTTGCTGTATGGGGAGGATTGACAGCATTTTACATATTTTTATTTGGTAATTATATGCTAATTATTGCATAATATATATATACATATCACATATTCGTCTTTACAACTAAATCAACTTCATTAATTATTTAGGTGCTGATTCAATTAAACCATGGGGATTTATACAAGCAAGGATTCTTATAAATGAAACACGTAATAAATTGATGTCAGCACCATTTTCTAAAAAGGAAGGAACTCCCGAGGAAAGGATTGAAGCATTGGAAACATTTCTTAAAGATCATGTTATTGATGTTGGTTTGATAGATCAATTAAATAAATCACCATACAAAAGTCATGAAGACGATGAAAAATAATGGTATATTTACATTTCATTTTATTTATAAATGCTTGTTTGAAAATAAGACCTATTTATGATTAAATTTATAAATAAAAACGATTGGATAATTATTGAAATATGAAATACCTGATAAATAATGAAGATGATGAAAATTAATGATGAACTAATAACGATAATGATTTTTCAAAAGAAGACTTTTAATATCAAAATCATAATAGTAACAATAATAACCAATGAATGACCTTTTGACTGAAATTAGTGTTCCATGTTGCAATCCAAAAAAGGAAACCAAAGTGGTCGCAAAGGTGGTTGCAACCAGGTGTCGCTAAGGTTGCTTTGCCAAAACTCATCCAGAAATCAATCAGCAGGGTTTTGGCAGGTTACACATTAATTGTTTATTAGAGTTTCGGCAGAGTTTCACATTTTGAGGTTTCGCCTTTCGGCATAGTTTCAACAGGATTTTTGATAAGATTTAATATAGTTTTGCTGTGGTTCAGCAATTACTACGGAGGTTTCGCCCACAACCTTAGTCTTGATAAAGTAGTTATTAGTTTTTTCTTTAACTGTGTCTATTCATGACTTGATAATTTCTTGGTAAAAATTTAAAAACTTGTGTATATAGTAGTAGTAATAATAATAGTAATAATGATGATTATGGTTATGATGATTATGATGATTAGTTTTTTTGACTTGTATTTTGATAGTTATTGATTTGTTTTTGATTTGCTTTTTGATTGCGTCTTAATAATTTTTAAAAAAACAATGTAAAAATAAATTTTTGATAAAAAAGCAATGTAAAGAAAATTTACATAGTAAGTAATAAGAATGATAATGATAATTTTTTTTGATTCACATCATGGTGCCTTGGTAAACTTTTGACTCGTGTTATTGTAAAAATAAAATGATGCATCACGAAAAGATAAATTTAGCTACAACATGATCACAAAAAATCTGTAGATCATTAATTATAACACAGGTAAACTCGATAAATCGGACAAGTATTTATCAAGTTTACCTGTGTATTGAACAATTTGAAATTTTTGAATTTTTTGAATACTGCAATGAAAAAAAAATTGTCATTTATATATCCAAAAAAACAATCTCATGATAGATGGAGCTGATTAATACAAGTTTGACAAATGCCACATTTAGGGTGGGAATTAATTAATTTTTTAATAGTTTCCTACAGATCTATAGTAATATGACATAACAAAATGTCAATGGTCCTGTTATAAAAAATCTAATTGATCTCCAAAAAGAATATATAAAACTATTGTATTGCTTAAATCATCATTAATCAATTTGCTTTTTTTGTAATTTTATTTGAATAAGATTTATTCGAATTATTTGTTTTATTTGTTGTGAATTTTAGTATTTGAATTATGTTAAAAGTCATTCAAACAAATTTTTTAATTTTTTTGAATAAATTTTAATTCTTTAACTTGAATAAATTTGAATAAATTTTTTTAATTTTGAATTAATCCCATCTATTAGTCAGATGACATTTCACATATCACTAGTAAATTGTACATTCTTTGATCTCTTTGTAGAATTTTTAGCTATTTACTAAAAAAACAGAAAAGAATTACCTGTTGAAAGCTATGCCTTCAATTCTTAATAATATTGCAACAAATTATTTTGAACTTGTAATTTCAATAATAATAAGAAAAAATCACCATTTGGTTCTTAGAAATAATATTACATCATTGGGTTGGTGTAGTCAAATGAGGCATGGATAATGGAAACAAGACAACTTATAATTCCTTAGTAAATAATATAATTCTTTAATAAATTACTAACAAGTTTTGTTTCTAAGATTTTAATTCAACTAGAATAGTGAGCTTTGGATTAACTATTACCATCACCATAAAGACCAGCCTTATGGATGGATATATTTATGTCTAAGAAAGCTAAAGGTAATAACAATAATTTAATGAATTAAAGGACTCATTAAATTAATAAATGAATATTAATAAATTTAATGTTGTATTTAATTCAAATCAGTAAATAATTATTTTTTGTTATATGAGCCAAATCTGAAGTACAAGAATATATAACAATAATTCAGCAAACACATATAAACATAAATCAGAGCAGAAGGTTATCTTAATAAAGTGTTATTTTCATTTCAATCAGCCCAATATTTTATTAATTAATCAAAATTTAAAAAATCAAGGGATTTTAACACAAGTGGTTGATGTTTTAAATTATTGATGATTTTTAAAGTCTGCATAATAACAATATGTGATTTTTGGGTATGATGAATAATAGAACTTTGGCTTTTGAATGAGTCTAAGATCATTAACTTAATCCAAAAATTGGCAGAACTACAAATTTTTGGATGCAAAAGATTAAAAAATCCAAGACAATTTTTTTATACATCAATGAATGATAATCATGTATAAGCATAATATATAGATTAAGAAGGTAAGGTTACAGAAGATTTTATTTCAATCAATTGAATTTTGGTGAAGATAATAATGATTAATTGACTATATGGGTAATTTAGGCATAGATTGTTGAGATTT